AAAAGTTGCTCATTTTTTTAATCTCTATAACTTTTACATTTAACATTTTCGTCTAAAATCAATAGTTTTGCCACAATTTGCAAAATACCACTTTCCACCCCTTTCAACCCCCGTCATTTCACCCGCGGAAAAATTCAGCTGTTTTAATTATTTTTCCCCAATTTCTATTCATTTCACCTGCCTGAAAAACCCGGTTTCGCCCGGTAACTAATTTTTTTTGAAAATAAATCATTTTAGAGCTATTTAGCCTGGACTAATCTAGAAAAGTAATGTAGTAAGGGAAAGCGGTTTTGACATTTTTCGTGTTTAGTTTTTATCAATTTGCCGTAATTTATTATTTCTGTGGTTGTTATTGTGATAGACAGTACAAGATTCAAAGAATTTTGAACAAATTCGACGATTAACGGTCTATTTACACACCAGAAACTGTTTTAACTTCAATATATAACATTTCTGTCATGTAGTGCACGTCCAAATTAGCTGGAATCGACATCCGAAACATCACGCAGGGTTAAAACTATCAAATTCAAAATTTAACCATTATTTTGAAAATAAATAATCCAAATTTGGGGCTTAAGGATCAGATATGCAATTTTTTTTAATGCCATTGGCACCAGCGACCCTAAATCATTCAGAAATTCAAAATTCGTCAATTTTTACAGGTTAAAACCTTGAACACCCTTTTGAACAAAAGTGTTCAAATTTTGAACCTACACGAAAATTTCGATGGGTGCTGCGGGCCAAAAGTCTTATTTGGACCTAATGAACACGTGTACCGAGTTTCATACTTTTGTTACAAAATGTAGCGAAAAAATTTGTACCGCCTACGCTATGTACTGTAAACCATTTTTTCAGTACGGCCTGATGATGGGTAATATGTCCGAAATCGATCGCCATTAAAGAAATTTTGTAAATATTTGCCTATTCTTCACCGGTAAATAATGGACAACTTCATTAACCAAACTGTTTCACTTATAGGGTTTGAATTCTAATGCTTGATACAAAAAGTATGAATCTTGGAATTTGTTTGACATCTTAGCGCTGGTAGTCTAAAATTTAATCTTGAACGTTTAGCCAGTCCAGAAGTTTCGATCCTAAAACTTTTTGTTCTCATTTCGTTTTGAGACTGTTACTAGTTTATCAATTTCATAAGTGCATTATGTTCCAAAAGATTTGATTTTACTCCCCGAGGAGAGTAATTTCATGGTACGTGTACTATTTTTAAATACCGACCTATGTGCACGGTCAGTAGAACTTATCAAAATACAAAACAGAGATATGGCGTTTTCATGTGAATCTTTGAGGAACCACAGAAAATATTTGAGTACTCACAGCACGTAAATCTAAATTTAAAGTGAATACAAGATGGAATGGCTGCCAAGTTGGCTTAATGAAGAAAAATTAGCAATTCGAGAGTTAATTAAAACAAGGCTGAAAATTCCTTCTCTCAAATTCCATTTTCGACTCTATTTTTAATTATTGTGAAATTTCAAATACATTCATTCGTATAAATAGGTACCTATAACGTGCAAATTTATTTCAAAAGTTTCGCTTCATAATACGAGCATTGAGCGTATTTCTCTTCCATTTATATAAATCAAAGTTACAATAAACCTGCAGTCGATAGTAGCATTAGCAGGCGCAGACTTCGGATACGCGTGCCGTTGACAGTTTTGGATTTCCAGGTGGTGCCGCGAATGGAAGCATTTTCTATTTAACCTTTTATTCCAACAAGCGTATGAGGGGTAGATAATAAACAGGATGCGGTTTGAGTCGTCCCTGAAACTTTCAATGCAGAGAACGCTGCGGTGTTTAGTTTACATTATCTGGTAGGAATGTAAAGCCTGAAGGTACGGTGCGTCCTTCCTCCCTATACCTATACGTTCTGTTTACCTGAAACCTGGAAACCTTTGTCGCATGAAAGCATCGGTGATTTCGAGCTACACGGTGTGTTCTAACGGAAATGCGCTTTCCCCATCTTGAGCTTCACACTATTTGCCTTTAACCCCATCCCTTCATCCCGACACGAACGATTCGTTATTGTGTACTAATTACACTTTTAATGATCGCAATTTTACGACGTCGCTTTAAAATTGATAGGGGTGTAAAGGAACAATCGCATTTGAGGGAGGATTACGGAACTCCAAAATCCTAGCCGCTGTCTACCAGGCTTTGTGGAACGAACCAAAAACTAATTCGTGCCCCTTTATACCAAAAATCGTTTCGCAACATTCCTAGATATCCTTAAATCTCCGGCTTAAAGGGATGTGAATTATGCCCTCATCATTAAATCACTATCTCAAATTAAAATCGCGGTTAATGTTTAATGCATTAATTCCTCCCTTTCCCTTATACAACAACGCTATCCTCGCCGTAAATCAACCTCTCTATATATTTTTTTATAACAAATTATCGTCCCGTTTAATCAACCGGGGCGTAATTTGGTGTACTTAGACGATACCATAAATTAGCATATCTAAGCTACGGATTAAAAGTTCGAGATCCCTACACGGTCTTCTTGCTCGAAGCTTTAGTTAAAGAAATATTATTAAATCACCCCGAAAATCGCATGTTTTCCCAGCAGTTTGAATAAATCGAATAGGGAACGCGTACAATTTGTCTCTCAGCCAATTCAATTTTCCCCATTAAATATATATTTTCGCAAAACCGATTTTTATTAAGAAACGAGATATATACAGTGCACGAAATCTTTCATCGTTATAAATGTATTGCGTCATTCCGCGCCCTCTTATATATTTTATATCCATTGAGCTCGGACCAATTACCGCCAGTTCTCGCTGTCGTATTCGGGAAAAAAAGGCAATTTTGTATTGTGTAGCTCTCCGCGATATTCGATTACACAAAGGACGATTTCGTTGCCTGCAAAGCCGTTTATTTAAATGCCGATAGATTAATGGGGGTTGTTGTGTTGAGCCGTTAATCGCGGATCTGAGGTATCCGATTTCGGTGGCAAATTGGAAATTAATGACGAACGAATGCCGATCAAGTGGACAAGTGGAAGCGCTTATTTACAAATCGCCCACTTTCACGTATAGTCCGGGGAAATAGAGACTGAAAATGGACCATTTCCTGCAAAACGAGAAGTAGTTCCATTTTTTTTGCATGCCATGGAGGAATATCTGGGGGCTAAGAATCCAAGTTTTCGACCTCCCACACCTTGTGCTTCCCCCGTACCAATCCTAAAACCAAAGAATTTTGTTGGTTTTTTAGTTTTTCAATCATATCTTTTTATAGATTCACTACAAAAAAATATTGTTATTAGAAATTGTAGACCATCAAATTTTACACAAATTTCTTATATACTCCTTTTTCGTAAATTTTTTATTTCAAAAGATACCGAGCTTCAAAGTTGTCTTTGTTTTGAAGATTCCGAAATTTCTATGTATGTACATATTTTAACGAAATTGTATGTTATCTCTATAGTCATACGATTCACATGAGAAAATACCTCGATTATAAAGTTATAGTCCTGGTTGTACACTGCCTTTTTTTGAGGCTCGAAGAAGAAATTGTCTCAGATCAAAATTTTCTTATAGAATGTGTCCTGTAGAATCCATAATTTCAAACAGTTCCAAGATTGGGCAACTAGTTCAAAAGTTACAGCCCTTTGAATTTCTTTCGAAATTGGTTTCTAGTCTTAAAACTTTTGATTGTGAAGTCTGATCGAAAAAGTACGAATTGATTTGGATTCTACGCACCCAAATTAATAAGAAAAAGTGTTTTCCCGAGAAATTTTGGTGTAGTCGATTTTTAGTAAAAAAGGAAGGTTATACACTGCCTTTTTTTGAGCCCCGAAAAAAATTGTCTCAGATCGACCCGGAAAAAAAATTTTCTTATAGAATGTGGCCTGTAGAATCCATAATTTCAAACAGTTCCAAGATTGGGCTACTAGTTCAAAAGTTACAGCCCTTTGAATTTTCTTTCGAAATTGGTTTCTAGTCTATAACTTTTGATTGAGAAGTCTGATCGAAAAAAGTACGAATTGTTTTGGATTCTACGCACCAAAATTAATAAGAAAAAGTGTTTTCCCGAGGAAATTTTGGTGCAGTCGATTTTTGGTAAAAAAGGAAGGTTATACACTGCCTTTTTTTGGCTCGAAAAAGAAATTGTCTCAGATCGACCGGGAAAAAACATTTTCTTATAGAATGTGGCCTGTAGAATCCATACTTTCAAACAGTTCCAAGATTGGGCTACTAGTTCCAAAGTTACATCCCTTGGAATTTTCTGTCGAAATTGGTTTCTAGTCTATAACTTTTGATTGAGAAGTCTGATCGAAAAAGTACGAATTGTTTTGGATTCGACGCCCCAAAATTAATAAGAAAAAGTGTTTTCCCGAGAAATTTTGGTGCAGTAGATTTTTGGTAAAAAAGGAAGGTTATACACTGTCTTTTTTTTGGCTCAAAAAAAAAATGTCTCAGATCGACCCGAAAAAAACATTTTCTTATAGAATGGGGCCTGTAGAATCCATAATTTGTTTGCCCATAACGTTTGATTCTACGAATCAAAACGAATAAGAAAAAGTGTTTATCTGAAAATGTTAAATTTTAAAAATTCCGGACATTTTGGATTTTACAGTTTAAAAATTTTTGCCGGCAAATTGAGACAAATCATTTTTCAACAGAATTTATCATTTTTTCGAAAATCGTCAAATTTTACATCGACTGAAAGAGCTTGACCTGAAGATTGCAAGATGTTGAACCAAATTTTAAAAAAATGGAATTTTATATGAGCTAGTTAAAATATTCGCACATTTTTTGTATTTTTGAAACCTCAACTTTAAATATGGAGGAAATCAGCAGACGACATGCATTCATATTGAAATTGTTTGTTGACGAGACAGAGCATCGCACGTCACATGTGCGAGTATGTGTATGTATATCATCATAAGTGGGAGAGTCACCAATGCATCATAATGTAAGTTCTGTGCCCCCTGGCCTCGACCCTCCGAGATCAGTGGCGCCGGCACGTTTCCAGTTTGGGATCTTACTGGGGGACCCTTAATTAATTACTGCTCACTTTTATAAAATTCGTGCCATTAAATTAGTTGACGTCATCTTTCGGCTTAGAAACGCGTGACAAGTGAATGATAACTTTCGTTCCCGATATACGCGAGTTAAGGGCGGAAATTTAGGCGAAAGCCGGACGAGTTTCTGATACGAGCGAATTTAATTAAATCGCCTTTCTTTCCCCTTTTTAAGTAACGTCTCTGGGGTTCAACGCTCACATATGGAGGCAAAGTTAATTGGAACTTGTGGGCATTTTACAGTCAGTAGTTCGAGTTCTAAATTCATGTTTGTAACTTACTCTCAAATGGTTTTGTCATTCTGGATTACTGTGCGAAATAATGTGCTAATTGTGCTCCATCGTAGGAGTTTTTAATGTAGAAAGTGTTACGCAATTCAAATTCTTAAGTAAAATTGAGTAATTAGAATTACTTATTGGTAAGTTTGCATATGCAAATTCTAAAATTGGTCTTTTTTTCTAATTCCTAAAGCCCAAATGTGGTAGGTTTATATCAATTGATTTAGCAAATTTATTCACGCCAGTCAATTAGGGTCTGCTTTATAAATTGAATTAAGTTGGTGGCATTTTCAGCTCAATGTCTTCATTAAATTTAAAAAAAAATGCTTCAGAAACGTTGTTGAAATGTTCTATTCAAGAATGCGAAAGTGGATCAGTTCCTCTTTTACCAACTCCACACAATTTTGGAAGAAAATTGCTCCCTTGAAGACCTTTGGATACTGTGTTTTGAAAACCTAAAAGATTAGGACCACGAAAAATAGCAACAAAGGGCAAATTTGTAGCCAGATTCCTCATTTGGCGGAAAAACTTTTGAAAGAATGGGCAATCGTTAATAATAGAACTCTATTAATACTAGCAATTTTTAATTCAAGCACCGCGCCGCCGCCGCCGGTCACGTAATTTATATTTAAACGCGAGAATCTGTTAAATATTACTTTATTTATAGTTTACTTTAATTAAGAGACCGAGCGCGCCATTTTCACAATAGGAAGACTTTTTCGAGCCCAAATTACGCAATGCAAGAACAAAATGGGCGACGATTGTTAACGAAGTCACTGAGTTTAAACAATAACATTACTGTAAGTTATTCAACCTTGGTTTGCAATTGTAATTTAAGATTGTATGTTAATTTGTTTCCACTAAAATTTTCGTGATGCGTGCGTAAGGCACATGGTAGGTACCTACGTCCGTTGAAAACGCACGGAAGCGTAAACAAATTATTTTTGAACATTAATTAGCTTTGATTGGATTATGAGTCAACTTTGTATGGAGTAATAACTCCTATTAATGTTACATAATAACTAATTTCAATGTAAATGGGTGGTTGAGGCGTCGTCTATGATCTACCTCCACTTTTTGACGCAAACAAAGTGTAACGTTCAATTTTATTGATCTTTGATGCTTAAAACTCAAAACTAATTAAAATGGCCAACGGGCGTCATTGTATGATGTGATGATGACACTGAAAAGCTATAGGTAGGCATCACACTTTCACTTGTTTGCTCTTTAATGAGGGGTTCAAAATGAAGGACTTTGGATCAGGCATCGCTCCCCTCTCAAATTTGGAAATCGATTTTTAGAGTCCAGTCGACAGGTTGGGAAAACGTCGAAAGTTAATGAAACTTTGGGATGGTGATTCACTATCGGAGACATTGGAAATGACAACCTTAAATAAAACACAAATAACTCTACTCATTCAATCAGATCAATAGTTCCACTCGCTCGTAAGCTCGCTCGTGTCGTAAACGTCACTCTTCTGATTAATTTGCCTAGTTTTCATAGACGCGATTATCGCCATTTTTATCATCATTTATTTCGTGCGGTAGTTGAAAATATGTCAAGTTTTTGCGAATATTTGCATTTCGTACCAAACATACTATGCTATGGGTCCGTTAACTTGGCCCCCCCCACTGGGAGATTTGATAGTCGTATTATTTTGAAATTAATGCGCTGGTTATGCGCTCATATGCGCCATTATCGTTTGTTAGAAATCCGAAAAAACATTGGGGGGGGGGCCAAGTGAACGTAGCCCCCCCCTCCGTACGTATTTTGTCCCTTGTAACTAACTCACCTGATACATTTGGTTATGCGCTCAATTGCGCCACTTGAATTAAAGCTAGCGCCATTACGGTTAAGCCATAAAATTTTTTTTAAAAGTGGGGGGGGCTAACTTACCGTTTTCAAAAGTTACGTTTTTTAACATGTTTTTTCTACTACATCGTACCTTTCATCGTGCGCTAAAATGCGCCGTAAACAAAAATCTTGGCGCCATTATAGTGTTTCAGAAACACTATACAGGGTGTTTTTTGGGAGCTTTAGTTAAACGATTCTGAGAAAGTAAAATAGGTAGGTTTTTAAAAATTTGTATTTAGGAGTTACTCCGAAGGCCGAATCGATGTAAAATATTTTCAAAATGGACGCACTTCCGGAAATAACTTTTGAAAACGCTAAGTTAGACCCTCCACTTTTTAAAAATTTTTTATGGCTTAACCGTAATGGCGCTAGCTTTAATTCAAGTGGCGCAATTGAGCGCATAACCAAATGTATCAGGTGACCTAGTTACAAGGGACAAAATACGTACTGGGGGGGGCTACGTTCACTTGCCCCCCCCCCCCAAATGTTTTTTCGGATTTCTAAAAAACGATAATGGCGCAAGAGTTATTATCGGTGGCGCATATGAGCGCATAACGAGCGCATTCATTTCAAAATAATACGACTATGAAATCTCTCAGTGGGGAGGGGGGGAGGGGGCCAACTTAACGGACCCCTATGCTATAAGCGTCGTAACATGCTCGTAATACTTACTATTAAAGTATTAAAGGACAGCACTATTAAGCGCAATTGATGCGACACCGTTGTCTTTTTGCAGCATGAACGAAACCCATAACTTTGTACCCATATACGAAAACACTCGTGAAAGACAGCCTTCGAGGATGGTCCCCAAAGTCTCCCAATTGCGCGGCGACTTTGCCAGAAAACCCTATTTGCTTTTACGACTCTGAAAATTGGAGGTGGAATCGCAGGAGAGTTCGAAGACCCTTTACCCTTCTTTTCCTTGGGAAGAGAACTAGCTTCATTTTTGTCAAGTTGATGGACAAGGAGTGTTCCCTACACCATTCTTCGGTTATTCTAAGAACTGATCGCTAGAGTAGCCTCAAATTTGCCAGTTATTTCTTTGGATATATCATCCGCATACCCCGGCGTGTAGCAGCCGCTGTCATTACGGTGACAGAGGAGAAGTGCGGGGTATGAATACCGCTCCTCCCTGTAGCACAAAAGTTCCATTGCCATTTCCAGTAAAGCACCACGAGCGCACTGAAGCCTATAAAGAAAAGGTTATCAGATTTCTCCTTCCCCAACCCGTTTAATTTAATTTTGCAGAAATCGTTATCCAAGTTTGCATTGCTGGGGGGGGGGGGGGGGTATTCCATACTCCCCAGACCCTATACCAACATTCTCCTCCATACAACATTTAACCGCAAAAGTGTTATGATGGTTATTGTGAAAAAATGATCATATTTGGATCCACCCACAGTTAGCAACTAGAAAAGAAGGTTCAGTTTCAATTTCAGGTTAAAATTGAGACACAAATTTTGACTTTAGATACATGTTTACTCCCATAGTTTAGAATTCGGGCCCAGTTGCAAGTGCAAATTAAAATTGAGATTGAGATTAAGACCCAACTTTGGACTGAGATGAAGATTTCGTCACAGCTAGCAATTACAAAAAAGACACCACCTTGGGGTCAAAATTCAGGTCCAGACTTAATTGCAAGTTAAAATTGAGATTGAAATTGAGACCCAAATTTGGACTTGGATCCAGGTTAGGTCCCACAGTTAGAAATTAGAAAGAAAGACGCCAACTTGTGGTCAAATTCAGGCTCAGTTTCAAGTTTAACATTGAGATTGAGATTAGGCCCCAAATTTGGACTTTGATACATGTTTGGTTCCACAGTTAGGAATTAGAGATTGAGATTAAGACCCAACTTTGGATTGAGATGAAGATTTCGTCACACAGCTAGGGATTTAAAAAAAAACATCACCTTGGGGTCAAAATTCAGGTCCAGATTCAATTGCAAGTTAACATTGAGATTAAAATTTGGACCCAAATTTAGACTTGGATGCAGGTTTAGTCCCACAGTTGGGAATTAAAATGAAAAGCGACAACTTGGGGTCAAAATTACGGTCCATTTTCAAGTGCAGATTAAATTTGAGATTGACATTACGGATCAAACTTACACCAACTTGTCAAAATTTAGACTCAGTTCAGATTAAAATTAAGATTGAGACTACGATCCAAATTTGAACTTAAATGAAGGTTAGATTAGAAAAGACGCAAACTTGGGGTCAAAATTCAGGTCCAGATTCAATTGCAAGTTAAAATTGAAATTGAAATTTAGACCTAAATTTGGATTTGGATCCAGGTTAGGTCCCACAGTCAGAAATTAGAAAGAAAGACGCCAGCTTATGGTTAAATTCTAGCTCAGTTTCAAGTTCAGATTGACATTGAGATGAGATCAAGACCCAACTTTGGACTGAGATGAAGATTTTGTCAGGTTAGATTAGAAAAGACGCAAACTTGGGATCAAAATTCAGGCCCAGATTCAATTGCAAGTTAAAATTGAAATTGAAATTTAGACTCAAATTTGGATTTGGATCCAGGTTAGGTCCCACAGTTAGAACTTAGAAAGAAAAACGCCAGCTTATGGTTAAATTCTAGATCAGTTTCAAGTTCAGATTGACATTGAGATTGAGATCAAGACCCAACTTTGAACTGAGATGAAGATTTGGTCCCACAGCTAGGAATTAAAAAAAGATACCACCTTGGGGTCAAAATTCAAGTCCAGACTCAATTGCAAGTTAACAGTGAGATTGAAATTTGGACCCAAATTTGAACTTGGATGCAGGTTTAGTCTCACAGTTGGGAATTAGAAAGAATGGCATCAACTTGGGGTTAAAATTCAGGCCTAGTTTCAAGTTCCCCGGTAATAATTTCTTGCACAAAACGTCTCCTAAGAAGCACTGCGGATATTGCAGCACCGTGTCCTAGATGTTACTGTTCAGGAGTTATTTATCCGGGAGTCCATGTACGGGGTGTTAATGAATAGGGGTTTTTGACGGGAGAAAATTTGACCGGGGACTCTTATTTCTGATGAAGAGGGTGTAGAATCAAGATTTATACAGGGTGTTGCATGTAAGACCCCTCGGATCATAATTCCTCCATCATAAAAGCAAAACCAAAAAAATACACAATTTATTATTGTCGCCATGTTTCGAAAATATTTTTGATCACCAGGGTCGTACTGTATGCCAGTGGCGTATCAATCTTTTTTAATTTTGGCCCATTTTCGGAAGTAAGTCACAAAGTTTTTGTGACAATCAGGGGTATAAATCTAATCCCTTTCAGTGCGGGTTGACTA